TAAAAAACTCTCAAAACAAAGCACAAAAAACGAAGTATCACCTCTTAAAAGACAAACAAAGGCACGCGCTACAATCAAGCTAATCAAGTGGCCAGAAAATGAATCTCCTTCCTTGATAAGGCAACGGAAGGGCTGCTGACGCACATGACTCCCAATCTGTCTATTTCTAGGGCCTCCAAACGTTCACGTGTCAGCTGGTCCCGGTGATGTTTAACGACCTCGCACTGTTGGAACTGAGGCTGGCAGCTGCAGTCACGGCAATGTATGCCAAGGTGACCGGAAGCAGTTGAAGATACGTTGTGAGCATGTTCCCTTAGCCTGTCGTTGAGACAGCGACCTGTCTGGCCGACATAACGCCTGCCGCAAGACAGAGGGAGGGAATACACAACTCCCTCAGCGCAGGTGACGTAGCGATTGCGATGCTTCGTAGTGCAGGCCCTCGCCTCCCTATCAGAGGGATTAACGGCTCGGCACAATCTAGAAAGCTTGTCAGGAGCGGTGAACAAAACGTCCACATCACATCTGCACGCAATACGTTTGAGGTTATGAGCCACGCCATGCATATACGGAATGACGGCGAATTTTCTTCTTTCTCGTCCTCTTCTACTGCTGAAAGCGATATCGCTCGTCTCAGGCCAAGTTTTGGTTTCTTTGAGCAGTGACTCAGCAACAGCTGTCAACGCGTGCGAGGGGAACCCAGCGACAGTGAGGCGTTCAGTTTGCTTATCGAAGCTAGGTTGAACTTTGTGAAAGCAAGACCTTCGCAAAGCATGTGGGTAACAGGTCTTCGCGATTGCACGTTTTGCAATTTTTGAATGAGCAGACTCAAAGGGCAGAAGAGGATTGCCGGCCCGAGGTTCATAAGCCCAGCATACATGGTCCGGGCACATTGTTAATGTTAAATCTAAAAATCTTATACATCCGGCTACAGGTACTTCATGAGTTAAAACAAGTGGCGAAAGACAGTTAGAAAAGATTCTGAAAATATGAGTCATCGATGAATGAATGAAAGGGCAAGACGTCAGTTTCCAATAGGACTAAAAATCGTCTACATAACGGAAAACCCTTGCAACCTTGGTACCCTCAAGGTGTTCTAGAATGACGCGATCAATGCTTGCTAAAAATAAGTCACTAAGAACAGGGGCGATGCAAGATCCAATGCAAACTCCTTGACGTTGCAAGTAGACAGTACTCTCCCAAGTCGCAAAGGTCGACCTCAGGTATTTGTCAAGGAGCTCTAAAAAACCTTCAACTGATATTCCAACCGTATTTTGGTAAGCAACAGCACCAAATTTGTCAATACAATCACGAATGCAGACAAGAAGTTCATCGTGAGGCAAAGAGTAATAAAGATCCTTAATGTCAAACGAGCAGGCCATGTAACCAGTGCGTCATGTGCGTCAGCAGCCCTTCCGTTGCCTTATCAAGGAAGGAGATTCATTTTCTGGCCACTTGATTAGCTTGGTTGTAGCGCGTGCCTTTGTTTGTCTTTTAAGAGGTGACTCTTCGTTTTTTGTGCGTTTTTGAGTCTTTAAATGCTCATTTTCTTTTTGTTCTCAATTGTGGGTATATATTGCCCCGTTGAGTCCAGTAAAGATTTAGTTGCGAGTCAGCGCTCTGACCGTGTCCTTCTTTACCTTGTCCGTCGTTTTTTGCGCTGTTTTAACCTTTTAAGACTATATCTAACGTTGAAGAATGTTAGCTCAGAACATGCACTGAGAACACATATATGAAGAAAAAAAAAGTAATAACCAATTATGGCAAGCAACGTTTGTATTATCAAGTTTTTTCTTGTTGAACAAAATTGAAAAGGATAAACTTTCAGTGTTCCTTTCAGATTTTCAAAAGAAATATTAAAGAACTCCTAGTGGAGTGTGATCTCGTTTTGAATGAAGAACATAGTGTGAAAATGTCCTTTTTGATGTAACTAGCATTATTTCTTTAATCGTGTTAAATCTTGTACAAGTTTTTATTAATTATTTGTTTGGTTCTGCATTTGAACTTGGAGATGTCCTGTTTTGCGCTGTACTGTAAAGGGAGGCACAGGCCTTGTCAAGCCGCAAAGGTAGCTTTTTTCTCTACCTCCTTCCCTTCCCGTGTTTGTAAAGAAATAATGTTTGGAGGTTTTCGTTAAATGTTAGCACGAAGTTCGCCAAACTCTCCTCTGTCTGAGGGCTCTGCCCACTTAGCAAGAGGCTGCGATCAAGGGCCTGTGCATTACTGATCACATCGTTTATAACTTTTCCGTATACTTCTGTTTTTTCAGGACTTGCTGCAAATGATCGGTGTTTATTTTAAGATCGTCGTTTGAACATATACATGTCAACTTATGAGCCTGGCTGTAAGATATGCATTTTGTGCATGGACGTGCGTGGTATTTATGGTGGACAAATATTTCTGACGATCCGCCGATTTTCGGTACAGTTGAGTAGCCAATTGGAGTGATTAATCAGAACTCTTGTGTCTAGTAAGAAAATATCAGAGTTTGAATAACACTGTGTAAAACAATTGATGGGGTGCGCTTATTCAAAAGCTCAAATGAATTCATGTAGCTCTTGTTTTTATTGCGACAAGATAAAAAATATAGTGTCAATATACTTTCTACAGAAGGTTGGTTTGAGCGAACGCCATAACAAAAGCTACATCCTAAATTTTCCTTAAATTATTAGCGTAGTTAGGTGCCCTCTTACTTCCTATTGCACTACCGCTGGTTTTAATGAAGAAAATTCCATCAAATTTAAAGCTATTTAACTCAAACACCAGACGCGAGAGGACAGCGACGACATAGTTTTTTAGTAAATTGTCACTCCTATGAGTGTCGTACACATTCACAAGGGTCTCAATGTCATTACTGTGAAGGATGTTTGTATATAAATCCTACACCTCCAACATAACAAGGAACCCTACTGAAAAACCTGTACAAATTTTTACCGGCCAATACCGGTTCACACTGGAGTCCTGTATACTGATATCGGTAACCGGTAGCTCTGTACCGGCGACCTGTAACCACGTACTGGCGAAGCCGATACCCCGTACCGGCTGCCCATACCATGTACAGACGGCCGGTAAACACGTACGGGCACCGCCGGTAGGCCACACCGGTAACCGGTAACCACGTACCGGCGAAGCCGATACGTCGCACCGGTTGCCCATATCATGTACAGGCGGCGAGTGAACACGTACAGGCGAAGCCGGTACGCCACACTGGTGCCCGTAATAACGTACCGGTGGCCAGTAATCGATGCGCGGCTAAGAGCAACCACGTATCGGAGCGACCGCTAACGCCTTACCGGCGCCGGCACTTAAACCGGCGGTCGGTAACCTTGTACAGGCTCTACCGGTATACACAATAGACCGATCTCACTAAGCGTTGGGCGCATGCGTAAAGCCGCCATAGCTTTAGTTCACAGGAGGCAGACGGCCGTGCACGCGAGGGCTCGTGCCTTCTCGTGCTCTACACGCGAACAGTTCCAGCGAGGTTGTCGCACGTGCCCAAAGACTAAAGTTCCCTCGCTGCATTGCGGCAGCGGTGGCGTAGTCAAACTGGCCGGTGAGATCGGTCTATTCAACGCGGCCAAAAATTATCAGACCTCGACGGGAACGCGCGCACCGCGAAACTAAACTGTGATATTTTTTTCCAATAGACTTTTAATCAGAAAATCACATATTAGGTCATTTATTTAACAGTTTCAGCTATCAAACTCAACCATTTTATTACTTACATATTTAAAGTCATAAAATGCGAAAACCAAATCCATGGGAAGCGAGGCCGAGATAAACGAGTTTGCTTCATGGCTTTGAGCCCTGTAACGCATTAGTTTCGGTTTCGGTTTATTGACATCGGATTGGATTGGATTTCGTAGCTGCAAGCCAGAGTGCAGAAAAACAACCAACGACGGACAAACAATGCTTTTTTTAACAAGAAATAAACTTAACATGGTAAGTTTTTATGCTTTTAAATGTTTTAAAACTATTTTGTGTAATAATAGTACTAATACAAACTAAGGCAGATTATTTCTTCAATCCAATCCAATCCTTATGTACCCGCGCCGCTGGCCAGCTGGCCAGTTCTCTAAACCAAAGCCGCATTGACTTTAGGGCTATATCGATCGGTGTGTATCGGTGTCGATATGTACTAAGCGTACGCGATTTATGTAGATGGTGCGAAGGCAATAGTCAGCGTGAACCGTATCAAGAAGTTCAAACCGGCGCGCGTTGGCGACTTCGACCCCGACGTGCCGAAAAGCGTCTACTGCGAGGCTGTTGGAGAGTGCGTCGGGGAATGGTAAGCTGTTTTCTACGCATCAGGGGCTCGAAGCACAAAGTTTACTGCAAACCGTTAATAGGGAGTTTTCGTAGATCGTTTTCACCGTCCCGCAATGCCCTCCGCAACTCGCTATATGCCTGGAACTCTACAGGCAAGGCTATCAAGGTGCAGGCACAGTAGTAACTTCTTCGTTGCGGAAAGATTAGCGGAGGGGGAAACGCGGTCTACGAAAACTCTCTAATGTTCGCGAGCCCCTAATTTTTGGCAAATTCTACACGCCCGAAAATTAGCGAAATTTAAGGGCACGCGGAAAGCGGAAATTTGGTGGGCCCCCGTTCCGGCGTCCCCCGTTCCGGCGTCTAGAATTCGCGAAACGTGGTGGGCACGAATATATCCTTGTGCCGGATTTGTAAAGAACTGGGCAGCAAAAGCAAAGGATTTTACATTGTTGAACTACAGGGCGCTCCAGATGGCAGCCACGACATTTAAAATAAATCACAAGAAATCGGCTTTGTGAGCCACGACAACTTTACCACATAAGTTCGACTAGGTGGTGCATTTAATTTGTTAACATATAGAAGAAAAGACTTGTTGAAACAAGGGTTATAGCGCAGGCTAGCTGGTGAACGGTCATATTTATTAACTTCGATACAAGGGGGGTGTGGGGGGGGGGGGGGAAGGGGGACAGACACGACATTGAGATGTAGCTCAATGTGCATGGTTTGTCTTACAAAGACACGAGGTGAGCTGGTTGCTGCTTTGAAAAAGAAGCACGTGGCCATCCCCATGACATTGGACTCAAGGTTCGAGGTATATGTGCGCCTTTAAACTGCTTTTCTTACCTCATTCTTACACTCTTTTCAGAACCAGCAGCCTTAAGTTTGTCTTTTGTGTCCCTTTTTCAAATCGGCACCATACTTCGCTTCTGTTACCAGTGGGCAGTAATTGTGTGTAAAATTGCACGGTTAGGCTAAAGAATATCTTGCGTTTTGTTTGCCTCATGAGTAATTGTGTCCATTCATTATGGATGGTCAGTACTATTTGTATTTACATTTTTTTTTTATTGCTTGCTATTCTGCTACACAGATCCGGTGGGTAGATACGCTGTATGAAAGTGGACCACAAGCCGCACTTTAACACACAAAGAGCCGCAGCCTGGCCACTCCTGGTCTCGATTATGCTGTAGCCGAAGTTGTCCGTCTTCAATTTTAAGAGATACTCTCCTGCTTGTTTATCGACCACATTATATCTGAATTTGACCCTCTTCAGTCTTACGAGGTGTCCTCACCTGCTCTAAGTCTCAATCTCGTTGTACTCGAAGGTGTATCTCTTCTCCACTATTGCAAGACGTCCTCGTTTGTTTGGCGTCCTGCTTGCGTTGCAGCCGAAGTTTCCTCTTTTGAATCTTTTCATCCGCTTCGATGCTCCTCTTGTTGCTACTTTCCTCTCTAGCTTTCAACAAACATGTTTCATGTTGTACCGAAGTGCCCTAGGCACTTTGCTGTCGCTGTGCCTCAGCACGCTTGCGTGTATGTTCCTCTGGTGAGACCTGCTTTCGCATACCGACAACGATAGATGATGCTCAAGTCTGGTTCACAGAGCTCTCCTCAGATGTGGCTATGCGCGACTGCGACCAGATGTGACACTCATTGCTATGGCAACAACGGCGTTGAGTCACTGGCACGTGCATTAATGCAGCTCTTGCCTGCACCCAGTAACTCTTTCGCAAATGCTTGCCCATGTGTGCTAGTAGTGAAGCGAATACGATGCCCGGCTTAGACCCCAACAGTTGTGGGTTTGAGGCACTGTGCCGGCGGCATGTTTTTCTTTTCTGAATTATAATGTGCTGGCGCATGCTCTTTTCAAAAGCAGTTACAAATCCTCGGACCAACGGAGGCCTGAAGTGCATAGGGTTTGCTTATAAATGCTATCGTATATAAAAGTACTGTATTGCAAGTACAAAGTAACTAAGAGTTTACATACCTCATAGAAAGTACACTGGGTGCTAAGTAGTATAATCATAATTTACTTTCTAACTAACTGAGAAGTACCTTTTAACACAATATTTTATCATACTATTTCATCTACCTATACTGTGTTTTCTGCCAACAGGTACACGTAGTGCAAACAAATACACGTATCGTCCTTTACACACTAGAGTGTGTAAAGGACGATGTAGCAATTATTTCCTGAAATGACAGTGAATACCGGATATATGGTCATGGGCATCTGAAAGCATTTTTTCAGGGGGAGGGGGCAATCACAGGTATAGGGCTGAAACATACACCTAGAAAATAAAGGTGGGGGGGCAATTTAATGTGAACTATGTGTGTCCGAATCCTGTGTTGGAAGTTTATATTAAATGAATATTGAAATGCGTGGACCATTTTTCTTTCTCTGATTGAGATGTCGCCATCCCCTGCAGCGGGTGGCAAGAACAAAAAAAAAAAAAAGAAGACGGAGGACAAGACGTCCACTGTGTCGCTTGTGGAGCATGCCTGACTGGTTGAAAAGCTGCGGTCGGCAAAGCAGAGGGTGGTGAACCTGAAGCAGGAGCTCCAGATAAAGAGGACGCTACGAAGGAGACTGCAGTAGCAGCTGCTGGCACTACAGGGTAAGCCTGGAGGTACTTTCAGTTGCCCACCTCACACACGACACATTATGTGCTCACACTTTATCCGAGGGATCAAAAGTAACTTTAATTTTTTTTGGTCGCCAACAGAAGTAAGCATATACTACAGGGTCGCCTCAATGTATCAATGAGTTGTTGTCTATAATTCTCTTTTCTTCTCTTAGCGTGCAAACGGAGCTTTGAGAGTTTGTTTCTTGTTGCTGATGGCGATGACCCCGTTTTGCTTGGCAGCACTGTTGTTTTGCCCGAAGAAATATTCTTTTGCAGTTCGTCAAACAATCATGTCCATACCAAGACAGCATGGTCTTTGCGCATAGATGAGGCTTGAAGTGAAAGTTTGTTCTATCGGTCACAACATTGTAAATATGCACTTTCCGATGAGCCCGGCCAGCGCACGTCCTTTCGTCATCGGGGAGAAAGGAGTTCTTTTTGTTGAGGAGGAGGGAGTGAGGAAGCTGGTTGTAGGCATGACCACAGCACCAAGAAGGCTGAACTTTAATCGGGCGGCAGATTGTTCCTAGCGACCCAACTGTGCAACTGGTTAAAAGGTGGCCAGACGATCTGCTACAGCATGGGATCTCGTCAGAAAGATTGAGCTTATATCTCGCAAACTGTCGGAAGTGCTAGGTATGAATAGTCATTCGCTATTCACCAATATTTTTTTGTAAACATGCTCTCTGCCGCCCAGTGCCGGCGAATTTGAGCGCATTTCCTTTTTTCCTCTTTTTCTTTTTTGGTTTTTTGTCTCGTCCTTTTTTTGGTGTTCTGTTCGCACCACTTTTCCAATCCCGGTGTGTTACGCAAAAACAAATAGGCACACTGCCGATAGTCTTCTGTGGCATGAAGTAATATGAAGCCCTCATGCCATCAACGGACCAGAAAAGTGCTGAAGTCCGAATAACCAAGCATGTCTGAATTTTTGGCGTCCGAAAAACCTGTCGACTCCTCTATCGTGTCTTGTTTCTAAACAGTGTTTTATTATGTTGTAGTGGACAATGCCCCGTCTGGCGGTGTTGGGTCAGCTCCTCCAGCTTGCCCAGCAGCAGTTCCTGCAGCTGGTGCTCCTGCTTCAGTTTGCGTTGTGCGAGCTGGTGTAGATCACACCCGACCCGTACCGGCCGCTGATGCTGCTGTTCCAGCAGCAGTTCTCTTAGCAGGACCACCGGATTCACCTCCCGAGTGTGTGCCAGTGCTTGCAGAGGTCGATGATGAGGTAAGTTCAGAATTTCATTGAATATTCATTTCAGATATTGGGCAAGTGACTACATTTTATGGTTTCCACAGCTCCTTGAATGAGGTTATCTGTATGCTTCCTTAAATTGAACCATCGTCCTGCTTCAAAATGCTGATGAATGTAAAGAGTAGAACCGGGCATTGATAAGATATTTCTTCCCAATTAATTGGCGCTTTTCTGAAACGTTTTCTATCTAGTGTCCTCGTTTTATTTCGAGCTTTTTCACAAATCGTGTACCACGAGCCCAGATTAAAATTCTGCTATAATTGGTACCATTCTTTTTCTCTTCCTCTTTGCTCAGAACTCACTTAAACGGACACTTACATCCCCCCCCCCCCCCCAAGAGTTTCATTTTTTGCCAGGCGATTTATTATGGTGTCGAAAGACTACATAAATAATATTTTGCAGCAGAGTCACATATATGTTTATTAAAGCCAGAAAACGCAACTGCTCACAACCGAAACTGAAACTCGTGCATGGAGGTCGGAGAAGTGGAGAGGAGAGAGTGAATGGGAGAGGTCACGTGGTTACACCCGACCGTGAGCTTTTTTGTTTTCCCTTCCGTGTCCTCTTTTTTGTGTGTACAGCAGACGATATGCATGGCTGGAGCTGTTTGATATGCGATTCCTTTGCAGTTATGTTTGTTCCGCTCTCTGTTCTGCACTTCAAGATGAGTTCTTCTCTACATTGAGAAGTTGGAGATGAGTAGTGAGTGCCCGTGGTGAATTTCCGTGATCAGCTCCGAAAAGAATACCCCCAAGATGTTGCGTGAAGAGCTGCCTCGCATGTCCTGCGTCCGAAAAAAGTGTCATTGTGCGGCAGACGTCTGCACACGTTTCCGAAAGATCGAGATCGGGACTAATGGCTGGCTGCATTTCCTGTAGAGCATTTCTATCTATTTCTAGGTTCACCTTGGCCACGGTGTCTTGGTGCAAAAGTACAAACTGTCCTATGTAAGGGGAGCCCGGGGAGACTCCATCTTCGTTAAAAAGGCCGCGAAGCTGATCTTCGGCAGGGAGGACCTGCATGGGCCGTGTGAGCGGTGCCATGACGGCGCTTCCAGGGCGCTGTGGCCAAGAGGGCCCTGCCTCCAGTCAAGTTGGCAGCAGTCAGCAGTAAGTGCCCACTTCTCACAGATGTCTCATACTTGGTGAGACATTCAAACCTTATGGCTTCCGAAGTGGCAATCTGCTACGACAAAACGAATGGGATAAAATATTCCAAGGCTTTGAGAACTTTCAGTGTTATGGGCTGTTGAAGGGTCACAGTTCGACGAGCTCGAGCTTTAGGAACGTGAAGCTCCGAGCGCAAAACCGAAATGAAGAAGCCCTATCTCCTTCTTTGTTCTTAATATATGAAGAAAAATAAAGTGACTTTGTCACGGTCATTAGGGTCACTTGGCGCTTTCTGATGCATTCACACTATGGAGGTTTTACAGCAACATGCTCCGCGTCGCAAATACCTGCTAATCCCTGCAAGTTTTGAGGGAGGTCCATGATAACAGTGGCCTGCTCGCAGAACCTTCTGCTGGCTCCCCGGCGGAGCTGTGATACACTTATTTTTTTCTTTTGAACGAAAAGCTGGCACTAGCAAAGTTGTGAAATGAGTCTGTTTGTCCACTAGAGCTGCTGCAACCGAACTATGCTTGGCTCTGTCCTTTGAGTACTGCCCATTTTTTCTAAACTACCTTCTCATTGCGGGTATTCCTCCTATCGCGTATGAATGGACAATTGAAGGTTCGTGACACGGATATTAAATTTTTTACATGATTCTTGATGTCAAATCGGTGTTGTTAATTTATATACATGCCCAGAACAACAATTGCGGCTCAAAATCTTTCTTTCGCACTAAAACCGCCGGCCGAGAATTGTGTGTTCAATGTTCCTTTCACTCGTTTCCATTGTGACATTGTTGGGCATGAAATGTATTCGAGACTCTAGGCAGTCGGAGGCCCATGTTCATAATTGAAAATACATATTTGGATTCATAGAACATACTTTCATCTTAGTTAAGTGGCAGGCGAGCTGGTTAAGGATAGACTTAGTAACCCGGGAGCGTAGGGACAAAAAGGGACAGACAGACATAAAGCTCTGGAGCTTCGTGTCTTTCCGTCCTTTTTGTCCCCCTGCTCCAGGGTCTATAATTTTTATAGAGACTGAAATGCAAGGAACACACTGTTGCAAGCAAACTTTAAGTGCATAGTTGTGGGAAGTCACACTAGGTCTTTTCGATTTGCTTGAAATAGCCAATATAGTTCAAATAGTGTAAGAACTGATTCATTAGATTCAATCGGAAGTTGCTTGGACGCTGAACTGGCCTGTTCGATTTATCCCAGTGCTGCACGAGCTCAGCCTCAGTTCCACAGAATCTTGCGCTGCCTGAAGTCAGTTCACCGTTCATACAGTAAGAGGTGGCAACTCCTCAGTCTTTCGGAAACCAATCACAGGGACGTTTGTAACGCTGCAGCTTAACTTCACGCAGCCGCAGCCCGACTTGCGCACTGCTTCTGCACTCCTCCAAACTCGGTCTGAACTGGTTCAAAACTTTCTGGCCGAATCGTGCATACCTGCTGTTTTCGGCAGACTGCATAATCGTAAGAAATTGCTCTTGGAGTCTACATGGTATCACAAAATAGTAACAATGCATAAATTGTTGTGAAAATTGCTTGCTTATAATTGCAGAAAGTAAAATATTAAATTTTTCGAGAAACTGTAGATATACATGACTTATTGTTGTATTATTTTCCCTTGCAGATGCCTTCAACGAGTACATATGGAGGCATCCTCGAGAGGCCTCTCCAGGGAAGAGGACAGCTCGGTTCAACCTACTGCAGTATGCCAATTTGTTAATATCCTACTGCAGGATATTAACAAGAAGCTTGACTTCTAAGCTTGCTTAGAGGTTAAGCTTCTTGTTGATGTTCTGCAGTATGCCAATTTGCCTTCACTAAATACACATATAACCTGAAATGACCTGGCTCACGCTCATTCTTTGCATGACAAATGCATGCGAATTGTTAAACCTGCAAAGTTCCGTACGTCCGTTTGCAATCGTTCAACACCATGTTGATTCCTATTACTGAGTCAGAACGGGTAAACCTGTAAAGATATAGGTTTCTCTATCGGAACAGGTGAATCTGTATAAATATTGGTTCTTATATCTGAATGGGTCAACCTGTAAGGTACGGTTCCTATATCTAAACGGGTCAACCCGTACAGACACGCTTTCCCTTACCTAAACGGGTCAACCCGTACAGGTACGGGTCCCGTATCTGAACGGGTCAACCCATACAGGTCCCCTATCTGAATGGGTCAACCTGTACAGGTACGGGTTCCCTGTAGCATACGGGAGACCCGTATCCCATAACACCGTATGAGATATACGGGTCAACCAGTATGAATTTTTATACCGGTTTTTTCACTAGGGAAAGCATCTCTAGAGATATCAATTTTCGAAATTTCTTCAAGGATGTGGTTTTGTGTCCTTAATGTACAATGGGAAGCTGGGTGGATGTTTCTAATCAAGTTATCAATGAAGCTAGATATTGGTTCGGTGAGGGTTTCTGATCCAGCTATAATTGAACGGCATGGGTTTTCTTCCTAGTCCATTTACTACAGCACGTAAATTAGCCAGGCACGGCGTTTCTATTAGATAATGCTTTTGCGGTATTTTCGGTAATGATGAGCCAGCTGCCCCCTACAACGTCGGCATGTTGCCTAGATAGGTCGTTTTTGAGATGACAATTGAATTATGCATCGTTAAGCTTTTACTGTCTTCCTGTAACTAATCGCTTGTGGTAAGAATAACTATGGCGCCCCCCTTGTTGGCATGTCTTACGACGATGTCGTCTCTTCCGCTAAGGGACCGGAGTGCCCTCCGCTCTGGCGAGGAAATGTTGCTGTATTCGGCTGCAGTTTTCTAAAACCCTGCATGGTGTATTTCTGAACCGTTTAACTACAAATGTCTGAATACTTGTCTATGCCAGTTTTGGGAGTAGATGCTCCTTCGCTGGCCTATCGATAAAAAATTCTCGAAGTCGAAGGATATTGGCAAAATTATCTAGGTTTGGGAGCCAAGAAAATTGTCAAATCAGCCTGTTGGCAGAAGTTGAGTCCACGCGAGTGGAGCGACGACTCGTGGGTGGGCAGCGTATGTTTAATAAGTTTACGATGTTAGTGCATCCTGGAATAAAATTCTGCGTGTCTCCTTTGCATATTCGTGTCAATAGATCCCAAGTGAAGAGTTCTACGTTTGATGAGTTGGATCCGGCAGTGCAGCTCTGCATGTCCCGTTAACACACTGTCGTCGCAGATCCAACGTTGTACCTGGCCAGCTTGTTTTAATTTACCTGACTGAGCGTGCTACATTTTCTACTTTCAAACAGTATTAATGCCACGGTTTCATGCTGTGATAAATTATGATCACGGAGTAAATTACCTTCAGCTTGTTTGACCGGGGTTCAAGTTGTTCTCAATGTCAAATAGTTATCCTCACCACCTCGAGGGACCGTATTCCACCTTTCTGGTTCTCTCTGAGACAGCGTTGTCCTGCTAGATTTTACGGGATTTTGTAAGCACTTAGGATTGATACGCGCGTCAAGGCAATTTTTTAGCTAAGTCGAATGTAAATCGTGGAGTTCTTTTTTGTCAGCTAATTTTCTAAGTTATAAAAAAGTTCCAGATGATAAATTGGTGGGGGCTGCGTGAATCTCACTCATGAAAAGGGAACGCGTGGTGTCCCCAGCGGTGGTTGTCAATCCCGCTGGGGGCGGACAGCCTCGCTGAGCATCTTGCGCAGAATGAATCTGGGTGTGACGGGGGGGGGGGGGGGCAGGGGGGGCGAGGTGGTCTTGGGGATGCGATTTACTCGCTCCGTAGGGCGGGTCGCACTGTTGGGTTTCTTCGGGACGTCCGCCGACGACGGATGAGTGGCTTTTGCCGAAAAGCCGTA